GCTGAGGGCAGAGCGGCTGCACAGGGCTGGGGTGGGTGGGGTTAGGGTTAGGCAGGGCCACGGGTGTCCGCCATGTCTTCCTCTGAACCAACCACTTCAGAAAATGCCCCCTGCATGTTTCATGAAAGGCCTGCAGGAAAAGCACTTCACACTCAAGAGCAGGAGGCAGATTAAAAGGAGAAATGGGTTTCATCCAAGGTGGGAAGCCTTTCTCATCTCCTCACCGGCTGCCCAGCCCTCGAGAGCTGCACGGAGAGCGAGACGACAGGGAGGCCTCTGGCCTCAACACTGCAGCGTCTCCTCCCTGGGGAGTGGGGGGACCATGTGTGCCCGGCATCCGAGACACTCCCCTCAGGGGCGGGGTCTGCAGCTTGCCAGGGCCCCTGTGGTCCCACCCGCAAGCCAGAAGGGCTGCCTGCGGTGGTCCCAGGACAACTAAGCACAAGCCGTGACACACGCACCCTCACTCAGGACGACGGTGAGCTGCAAATACGGATGCTGCCCGGAGACGCACCGATCCCGCTGTGGCCACAACAGGAAACTGAGGCTCGGCGACACGACCCTTAGAACACTGCATCCTCCGAAGCCGAGGACGGGGTGGAGTGGGGCAGAAGGCCACCCTGCCAGGAGGGGCAGGGACGCCCCAGGAAGGAGGAGCTCTGGAAGAGAAAGCTTGGAAGGACGTGTGCTAGTACACGGAGAAAAATAGCCTGGCCTGTGCCCCGGTTGGGCGGGAGGCCTCACCCGCATGCTCCGCGAGCCACCTCTCTCCCGAGAAGCTCAGGGAGGCAGCCCGGGCTCCATGGGCCCCCACCGCTGGGCCTGATCGAGTCTGTCACGAAAAGGCCTGTGCCACCTGGCTTCCGGGTCACTGCACACTCCAAGGCCCTCTCCCAGGTCCACCCAGCAGATCCACTGGCTCCCAAATCCTGACCATGGCTGCTGCGTGGCCTGAAGGGGGACTTCCCAGGTGGAGCCACGAGGCCTGGCAGGCCGGGAAGGGTGGACGGTGCCTGCCATAGGCCCAGCCCCAGGCTCTTGGCTGCTGCTCCTGGGAGAAGGCCATGCTGAGAGCTGAGGGCGACCTGCCGGCGTCTCCCCAGTTCCCATGAGTTAGCCACAGAGGCCCTTCTTTCCATCGCTGCTTTCTCCAAACAAAACAGTGGGGACGACAAGCTTTGACTTTGATGTAAAAGATATCAATGATAAAGGCCTTTTCTTACATTGTGAAAATGAATAAACCCCAAGCATACCAGCCCACACAAATCTGACGCCCGCCTGGCCACGCGCCCATCAACTGCAGAACGAGAGGATCTAGGTGCCAAAAGGCCCAGCAGAAAGCAGAGCGCCGTCTCCGAGAGCGGGGAGCCGTGCGGCGTGACGCGGGCTCCTGCGTGGGCAGCCACGGGCCGGGGCACACTGACCTTCCTGCAACCTCCACGGATGCTGGAAGCCACCGACGCAACTCCCCAAATTTAGGTACCTACTCCACCACCTCCCACGTGGCTCCTGGGGACTGGAGGACAGCGGAGGTGACCGCCTTGCCTCGCATGGCATTCAGGACCTTGCAGGGTCAGGCACCGGCCACACCAGCCCAGCACTTCCCAACACGCTGCTACGCACAGCCTTGCCCCCTGCGCCTGCAGAGGCCCTTCTCCATGATGACAAGGCGTGGCCTCGGCTGCTGGTCCCAGCTCCCCCTCTCACCGCAGACACACATTGAAGACTGTCCGGCACCTCATCCAGCCTCGGCCTTGGTGAGCTCCTGACCTGCCTGGGCTTCCCTTCTGAGCCATTCCTTCTGTCTCGCTACACGCTATCCCCTCTCCGAGGCCCCCAGGCCTGCTGCTCTGTGTGGCAAGGGTCTTTCTCCCCAGGCAGGGCTACTCCTGCAAGTCAGGGTGTGTGTGGGAGGCATGTGTTGTTCATCTCGGCACAGGAAAAGCCAACTCCAGCTTCGGAGGGGCTCCCAGCGCTGATGCTCGGTGAGCAGGTGGCGGGGCTGCCCCTCTGCCACTCTCCTCCCGCTCCCCAGGCCCGGCAGCCAGTGCTTTCTCCAGCCACACTCTTCCACTTGAAGGCCTCTAGTGCCTCCCATAGCTCCTAGGAAAGAGACTGCACACTCACCACAGCCCCCGCCCAGTCTCCAGCTCCCCCCACACCACACCCACGCTCACACACAGCCCCCGGCCCCACCCCGCCATCAATCCGAACACCGCGCGCAGACACACTTGCTGGGGGAGACACCCACTGTCGCAGGACCACGTGCACCTCACAGGCTGTAACGACAGAGCCTCTAGGTGAAGAATGGCCCCCAGGTCCCCAAGACAAGGAGACGCTGATGAAGATGGAGAGTGCGTCAGTGCCCACTCACCACTCCATCAGCCTCTGTGCTCGGCCCTAGAGACGCCCACGGCACACACTCAGTATCTGAACACTGAACGGCTGAACGGATGGAAACCAAACCGCTCAGACTCTGGCGGGTCCCAGAGAGGGCGATGTGTATGGCACAGCCCATGCATGAGGAATGCTTCAGAGATGCTGGAGGAACCTCGAATCTAGAAGGCATCGCAGCTGCCACGTGCAGAGCACTTCTTGGGCCAGACTAAAGGCATCCCTTTTCCTGCTTTACTCTCAGCAACGCTGAGAAAGGGGGCCATCCACGGGTGAACACCAGAACCCCAGGGAGTGGGTGTGACGAAGCAGAGGCTGCTGCCGCGGGGGGGCCCAGGGGCCCACACACCAAAGCTGTGTGGCCAGGGAAGGGCGTCCTCTCCCCACCGCCACCCCCATCTCACTGCAGGGCCATTTGATGTCCCCTAGAGCTGTCTCAGTCCCCTCTTCTCAGTTCCTCTGATGACCAGGAGAAACCCTGGATGCCCAGGGCCTGGCCTGCTGCAGACACTCAGAGCAGAGGAGTGGCCAGTGCAGGAAAGTCATGGCCTCCTGCCGCCCCACCCTATGCCCACAGTCACTGCCTCCCACAATGGATTCCAGTAGGACACCCCGCCCTGTGCCCACAGTCACTGCCTCCCACAGTGGATTCTAGCAGGACACCCCGCCCTGTGCCCACAGTCACTGCCTCCCACAGTGGATTCTAGCAGGACACCCCGCCCTGTGCCCACAGTCACTGCCCCCCACAGTGGATTCTAGCAGGACACCCCGCCCTGTGCCCACAGTCACTGCCCCCCACAGTGGATTCTAGAAGGACACTCTGCCCTGTGCCCACAGTCACTGCCCCCCACAGTGGATTCTAGCAGGACACCCCGCCCTGTGCCCACAGTCACTGCCCCCCACAGTGGATTCTAGCAGGACACTCAGGTGGCCACACAGCCACGTTCAATCCACACTGGAAGTGGCAGTGCCAATACAGGCACTGAAGCAGAGCCAGGAGCTCCACCTGCAACTGCCTGGAAACCCCTTGCCTGAGCATCCTGATGGGTCCACAAGCCAGGGGGAGAGGAAGAGAGCTCTAGAAAAGCAGCCCGGCCTGCAGACCCTGGTCTAGGGACGCGGTGTGCAAGCAGGAGCTGGGGTGAGGGCACCCCAGGACAGAGTGGTGGCAGAGAGCTGGCAGCGTGTCTGAAGCGCAGCCCGAGGGCTGCTGGACACGCCCGGCTAGCGCACTGCCTGGGCTCTACTCTGAGCCACACTCCAGTGCAGCCGTCTCAGCACAGCACTGCCACACAGCCCCTGCGGCTGGGGACCCGGCTGCAGCACCACCCCGTGATGGAGGACCTGCTCCCTTCTGAGCGTCGGGACACTGAGAGGCCCCTGCTGTCAGCGCTGGCTGGAGAAGGGCTGCTGAAGAAAGGCCCACACCAGCAGAGATGAGCATCCCTGCAGAGAGGAACCTACGCGGATGGGATGTGACTTATACAGAAAAGCCCTTCCAGGAAGGCAGCAGAGAAGCAGGACTTCACTCCAGCCACCAATAGGGGAGCACACAGAGAAGGCCACAGGCTGGAGAGAGGGGACAGGAGGCTGCCATGAGGTGTCTCCTGCACTGCCCTCCTCTGGAGAGGGCACACCTGAGCATGCGCACCTCCCCGCTGGGGGACACGCCTGAGCATGTGCACTTCCTTCCTGGGGGACACCCATGAGTGTGCCCACCTCCCCTCTCCCGGCAGGACACACCTGAGCACATCCGCCTCCCCCCACCCAGGACACACCTGGGCACGTCCACTTCCTCCCCCTCGAGACACACCTGGGCTGCCGCAGGTGTCTCCTGCACTGCCCTCCTCTGGAGAGGGTGGGCGCACACCTGAGCATGCGCACCTCCCGCTGGGGAGACGCCTGAGGCCACAGTACTTCCCTTCCCAAATACCCATGAAAGTGTGCTCACCACCTCCCCTCTCCCGGCAGTGACACTCTGAGCACATCCGCCCCCACCCAGGACAGCCACCTGGGCACGGCCCACTTCTCCCTCGAGCTGAGACACACCTGGGCGCGCGTCCACTCTTCCCCCACGGATCACCTGGGCGCCGCTCCACTTCCTCCCATGGGACACACCTGGGCGCGGCCCACTTCCCTCCCCGCGACACACCTGCGCCGCCCACTTCCTCCTCGCGAGACAATACCTGACATGTCCACTTTTCTCCTTGGGACACACCTGGGCGCGTCCACTTCTCCCTCGAGACACACCCAAGGCGCGTCCACTTTCCTTTCCTTGGGACAATACCTGGGCGCCAGCCTCCATTTCTCTCAGAGACACACACCTTGGCGCGCCAGCCCACTTCTCCCCTCAGGACACACACCTGACATGTCCACTTCCTCCCCCTCGACACACCTGGGCGCATCCATCACTTCCTCCCCCGCTGACACACCTGGGCGCATTCACTTCCCCTCACAAGGGACACACCTGGGCGCGTCCACTTCCTCCCCCGCGGGACACACCTGGACATGTCCACTTCCTCCCCCGCGAGACACACCTGGGCACGTCCACTTCCTCCCCCTCGAGACACACCTGGACATGTCCGCCTCCTCTCTGGGGGACATACCTGAGGGTGTCCACCTCCTCTCTGGAGAACAGGAAGCTCTGTTCGGCAGAACTGGACTGAGACTTTAGCATCTTCAGCTCCATCTCCAGCTAGGAGAAAGCAAAGGACAGAGGGTCAACAGACGTAAGCGCACCCAGGTGTGTGGGGAACCCCCGCCCAGGCCCCTGAGACCGCCCCTGGCAGCACCCCTGTCCTGGGCCGGGAGCTGGGGGACAGACCTCTTTCCCGGAAGCCTGAAGCTGCCAGGCCATACAGCACTCTAACTTTGCAAACTCAAGTCCTCTCACTTTTTTGGCACTTGTGTCTCCTGAGTAGCAACAGATTCATAGGCTCCCGGCGGGCTGTGTGGGGCAGATGTGAGAGTCTCTGGGGAGGGACACACAGCTGGGGAGAGAGCACGCGCCAACGCTGCCGGCGGTTTGGTTTAACAGCCACCAGCCGTCACGTATTCTGCTACCTCCAGCTCCTCCACAGAACAGCGTGAGATGCTGCACCGCCCTGGAGGGAGTCTGGATTCTTTTTTTTTTTTTTTTTTTTTAAAAGAGACGGAGTCTCGCCCTGTCGCCCAGGCTGGAGTGCAGTGGCATAATCTCGGCTCACTGCAACTTCCACCTCGCAGGTTCAAGCGATTCTTCTGCCTCAGCCTCCCAAGTAGCTGGGACTACAGGTGCACCCTGCCACGCCTGGCTAATTTTTTGTATTTTAGTAGAGACGGGGGTATCACTGTGTTCCCCAGGCTGGTCTCGAACTCCGACCTCAGGTGATTCACCCGCCTTGGCCTCCCAAAGTGCTGGGATTACAGGTGTGAGCCGCCGCGCCCAGCCAGGAGTGTGGATTCTAACCTGCCCCTACACACCTGGGGTGGGAGGCGTTGGGGGCGGCAGACGGTGGCGAGGCCAGGAGCCAGAACCGACTGCAGGCTCAAGGAAGAGCAGCGCACAGACGGGGTCTGCTCAGGCAGGCTGGCGCAGGCTGAGGGGCTACGTGGGCACCAGCTCCAGGCTCTGGGGGTGCTAAGGGAGGCCCACCCAGAGACGCCCCTCACCACTCCTGGGGTGTCTCACGGACAGGATCCGACGGGCTCAGGGAGGTAAATCCTGCCCCTGGCCCAAGTCAGGACCTTGTTCCCACCAGTCCTAACCCACTCCAAAGCCCGGCTCACCCCACTATGAAGGGAGGAGATAGGGCAGCGTGGCCTCAGGGAGGGGAGGGGAGGTGCCAGCAGGTACGAGGGCAGCTGGAGGCCCCCAGCAGTGGGGTTGCAAAGCCTGCCAGACACCCAGGGTGGGATGACTCGAGGGGGATAACACCCTCTGGGCTGGGGGCCAGAGGAGCCTGGGAAAAAGGGCACGGGGAGGGGTGTGTGCACAGCGTGCGAGGGGGGCAGGATATGCTAATTGCCCTGATCCAATCACCATACATTACATGTACTGAAACATCACTATGGACCCCATAAATATGTACAATCTGTGTCCATGAATGAGAGAGACCCACAGTTCACACAACAAACACGGAAGCCCATGCCCTGAGCAGCCTCTCCCCAACTTCCAACCCCAGCACCCCAGGCCCCCGACTCTCAGCCAACCAACGTTCTGAGGTTTGAGCATATGCTCCTTCCAGAGGCTGCTGGTGCGCACGCCCGCAACATGTCTATGTTCTTCCTCCCACCACACTTTATTTTAATAAAAATGGTAAGATGTGCTACACTTTATTTGGTACTTTGCTTTTTTCACTATATATATACATATAAATATATATATGTGTGCATGTATATATATATATTTTGAGACAGAGTCTCGCTCTGTCGCCCAGGCTCGAGCGCAGTGGTGTCATCTCGGCTCACTGCAGCTCCCGGGTTCAAGCAATTCTCCTGCCTCAGCCTCCCAAGTTGCTGGGATTAGAGGTGCATGCCACCACGCCCGGCTGATTTTTGTATTTTTAGTAGAGATGGGGTTTCACCATGTTGGTGAGGCTGGTCCTGAACTCCTGATCTTAAGTGATCCACCTGCCTCAGCCTCCCAAAGTGCTGGGATTACACGTGTGAGCCGCCGCGCCCGGCCTTTTCTTCTACTTCCTAACTTCTTTGTATACGTGATTTTAAATTTTTGTTTCCCGCCCCCTTCACTAAATTCCGATCGACAGCAGCAGTTCTCAGTTGATTCTCTTGACACACAATCTTATCAGCAGCAAAGAGGGACAATTTTCCAATTTTCCTCCTCCTTCGCAATATGGAAACCTTGGGTTTCTTTCGCTTGTCTACTTTGGATGACTAGTGTCTCCAGAATAATACTAAATCGCAGTTGTGATACTGGACATCCTTAGGCGGCCTGTGGCTTCACTGGAGCTGAAGCCAGCACTTTCTCGTTTACAGCATGTCACCTTTTGCTTCAAGTAGGTATTTCCTATCATGCTGAGAAATTACCCATATATTCCTATTTTATTAAGACTTTTTAATCAAGGCTGAATGTTGGATTTTGTCAAATGCCTTCTCAGCAAATATGAAGAGGGTGTTCTATAAATTGATATCCTAAAATCAAGCTGACAGGCTGGTCCTGGAATAAACCCTACTACATATGGTGTATTTGAACCTGCTGAGTTTCACTCCTGACATGTTAACACTGACACTGATGCATGCATGCGTGCGCACGCACACACATGCACCCACGCCCACCCAGACATGCACACGCACGCCCACACGCATACATACACAGGCTTGTAAGGCCTTTGCAGTTCTTGGTGTCAATACAAAGCTCACTTCCAGAGTGCCTTCCCCTCCTTTTCCCACAGTCTGAACTGGTTTACACAGTGTTCAAAGTATCTGCACTTCGCAAATCTGGTAGGATTTTCCCATGAAACTGGCTTGGCCGGATGCATTTTCTGTTTCTTTCCTTTTGCGGTGGGGGAGAACAGCCAAGGCAATGTTGGGACAACGGTGTTCTATAATAATTGATCTGTTTAAAATTTCTCTCTTCTGGAGTTGGGACTGATAGATACCATCCCCCTAAAAAGTTATTCATTTCCTACAGATTATTATTAAAATGGAATTGAGATATAATTCATAATTCCTTTTATAGAATTCAGATAAGACTCGTCATTCTTTTCAATTTTTTAATTTTTGCTTTTATTTTCTTTCCTATCGAGGTATATATAATTTACACGCAGTAAAGTCCTCAATCTTATGTGCCAGCTTGATGGCTTTTTATACACGTCTACACCTTCGTATCCACCGTCCAGGTCAGGACACAGAATTCTCAGCATGCCCGAACGCGCTGGCAAGCTCCTCTTCAGTCAATAGCTCAGGTAATTAGTCTTGTTTCTTATTTTGGATGGTGATACTTTCTATCAATTTTTTATTAGAACTGTGAATAATTCATATGTTTTATTGGTTTTATTTCAAATAACAGGTATTTGGACTTATTTATTATTTCTACCATTTTTCACTTTCCCGTTAACTTCTGCTTTCATCTTTACACATTCCTACCTTTTTGTTTCAATAAGGTTTATTTTCCTTTTGTTCACTGACTTCTTGGGTTGAAGGTCTCATCCATATATTTACTTGCTTTCTTGTTGAATGATATAAATATTTAAACTTGTGAATTTAGATGGTTCCCACAGGCTCTGATGAGAAGTGTTTTCATGACAATTATTTTCTAGATTTTATGCACTTTTGAACCGTAATTCTTTGAACCAAGAATTGTTTAAAACAAAGTGTTTTGTTCTGTTTGGGTTTTAATTTTTAATTTCCAAGTGTTAGGAGCTTTTTTTTTTCCCTGATTTTGTTCTTGATTTCACATCACACTGCAATCACAAGAAGCTGTATTAGTTCTAATTATTTTAATTTACAAAGGCTTTCTCTATTACCGAAGACACAATTAATCTTTGTGAATGCTGTTTTCTATGCGCTCCTTTAACATGAGTATACTCTCTAATTTAGGGGATCTGGGTTTTACGCACGTCTATATTTTTCTGTTTTTCCCCTTATTCTTTGCCCACTTGATATATCGCAGATGAGGACATAAATTCTGCTACGGGTGTCTCTGACAATTTCCCCGTGAATCTCTCCTCATTTCTGCTTTTCCCAACAGCGGTGATACGTTATTTAGCTAACCCACCTCCACCTCGCTGTGAAAAGCGCCCACCTTTGTTTCCGAGCGGCTTCCGGCCTGAACTCACACTGCATCGAGATCACAGCTCCTGCTTTCCAGGTTCACATCACCAGGATGCCTTTGCTTCCCGTATTTTCCAACGTTTGGTTTTGCTTTGCAATCCAATCGGGAAGTCCTTTCCTTTTAATAGGAGAGTTTAGTCCATCTATAACTTGATTTGTGTCCATTTCTGTTGTATTATGTTGTTATGCTTTCAATTTCAGAGCTTTTACATCTACGTCATTCTGTGGCCTTTTTAATCTAGTTTACTTTTTTGCGTGTAATTCTCTCGAGGCTTAGAAAAGTGTGCGTGTTTTACCCTGGTTGCTTTTATAATTCAGTTTTGTTTCACACCTATACTTTCCTACTAGACAGTACCTACTATATCTCCTATGTTCAGTGCCTAACTAGTCAGATATATCACCCTCACTGTTTATACAGTCTGTGACGGTTCATTCCACGTGTCCACTGGACAGGACCTGGGGTACTCAGATCAAAACTCTTTCTGGGTGTGTCTGGGAGGGCTTGTGGAAGAGATCAGCATTTGAATCGGGGACTCAGCAGACTGCCCGCTGCACCATGGGCAGGCCTCCTCCAACCCCTTGAGGCCTGAATGGAATGAAAACTGGAGGAGGCCAGCGTTCCTCCCTTGCCTGCCTGGCGGCCTGAGCGGGGCAGCTCCTGTTTTCCGCTTGGGACTGGGGTTTTCACCACAGGCTCCGCCGGTTCTCACGCCTGCAGAACTGGACTGGGCGCAGCACAGGCTCTTCCAGGTCTGCTGTGCGCAGATGCAGACCACAGGATCCGGGCTCCATGGCCGGGAGCCAGGCCCTCACAGTCACTCTCTCGGGATAGACCAGTCTACTGCGTCTGGTGCTCTAGGGAGCCGAACACGCAGCTCCATCCACTCTCCGCACCCGATACTACCTTTAGATGGTGTGTTT